GCACCTAAATCATCTTCCCCAAAAGTTGCACCAAAATTCTCAAGCCCCACTTCCTCTTCTCCTACCAACTCATCCACTCCAGCAGAGTCCCCCGAGGATGAGCCCTCATCTCCAGCCGCCCCCAGCAGCGAAGCCCATTTTCCTACTGCTCGACACCCAAACATCCACAGCAGCGTCGCGATGCCGCTTCCTACGTCGCGAAGCTGTTGTGGACGCAGCAACATCGAAGCGCTGCTGCGATTCACAGTAGCGCCTGAAGCTGTGAACGGCAGCAGCGTCGCGATGCTGCTGCCGTTCACAGCAGCGTAGAGAGGAGAAGGGAGGGAGGAGGGAGAAGAAGGGAGAGAGTGGGAAGGGGAAGGGGAAGAAGGAGGGATGCGAGGGACGGTGGCGCTGGTGAGAGAGTGGAGAGAAATGAATTATTTAGGATTTAGATTAGATTTAGGAAATTTGGGGAAGGGTTAGATATATAATATTTAATACTTGATTTAATTATTAATTCAATACCTGATTTTTCATTAAATAAAATTCGCATCTGAATTTTGAATTTAAAAAATTAAATGCCTTATTTTTTGTAATTTCCCAAAAATCAACCCCACCCGACCCACCAATTATCCAATCCCAAATCACTCTCTCGCACGGAATTACCGTTTGAACAATCTCAACAGGCAAACCTGTGTCGCAAAACATTTACGAATTCAGTTCAACGAATATAAACCACAAGCCGTGATCAATTTTTGGGCGTTGGTTTTTAGTATTTGCAGCTGTATTCTTGGTGGAAATTTGGGCTTTCTGATTTCACTAATAAAGGTAATCGCCTTTGCGATTAATTCTTGTTTGAGTGTTTGCGATAGTGGATTTTGTTTATTTGGATGATATTTTTGTTGGTTGTGGAGCTGATTATTTGGTTTGACCTGCGTTTAGTTTTATAGGGTTGAAATGTTGTGAAGTTATTGAAGATGGTGGTAAACTGAGATGGGGACTGAGTTGAATATAGTCTTTCTATATTTGGTTTTAACTCCCTTTTTTTTCCTGATGGATTGGTAATAGTGGTGCACACACTAAAAATACTACAGGATATATCTGCCGTGGAGTAGGACTAAGTTCTATGTGCAAATGGAGAATTTCCAAGTTATGTGTTGCATAAATCTTCATCGGTGATCTCAAGTAGTTTTGCCCTTTCTCATAAGGATCGGGTGATCGGTTCTAATTCCATTTGCTTGCATTTTTATGTTTATATATTCTTTAGGAACATATAGAGTAAAATAGTTTCATATTTGATTAAAAATTGAAATGTTCGCATTTGATTCAGTCTTTTAATAATTTACTTGATGTATTTGGCCTCTTAGGTCCAATTATAACAACTAAGAAAAAAATGAGATATTCTTCTTTGTCTCATTGTAAATGCTGTTCATACATGGGAGAACCCTCATAAATTACGTCTTTGTAAAATTAATATAGCAAGAGAAACACATGTTTTTGCCTACTGAATTAATTCATTGTGTAGGGTTCTAGGGCTATATGGACTCCAACCGTATTTACTGTACTTTCCCTTTTTGTGTTGTTTACTTGTGCTATTGTATGCGTTTTTGTGCACCATAGTTGTAAATTTATAGAAGGATGCAATTCAAGATTGATTCTCCTTTCTATCTAAATTCTGAGAATAAAGAAACTAGTTGCAATTGTTAAGTTGATTTGCTAGGTTGTTCCTGTCTAATTGCATGCAGAGCGGATAAAATCTTGGCCTTTAATTTTACCACTCAAACTTTAATTACTGATGTATCTCAAGTGCCATCTTTTTTTACTAGAAAAGATGTTAAACATTTTCCTCATTATATTTGCTCTTCATGCTTTCATGTTAGGTTTCTTCATTTCTTTTACACTTTGTGGAGAGGAAGAGTCGTCCTGATTGTATTCTCATTAATAGATGCACTGTAAGTTTTGATATTTGCTCTAAGTTATACTAGTTAAAGAGATTGAATTTACAATATTTGTTACTTGAAATGATAAATACTGATATACTGCAATTGATAGGATTGTATCAAAATGTACTTTTGGCTCGTGATTCTGGCATACTTGAGCAGCTTAAAGAGTTGATTAAATTGTGCCTGCACTGAACAACGTTCCTGGCTCCATGTCAGCTGCCTGGCTAATTCGGAAAACTTCTAACCCAGCCAAAGTCAGTGCCGCTGGCATTTTCATGTACATTAAGACCATGACATCTGTCTCTAACCCAAGAAACAATACCGGAAGTGGCAGAGGTTTATCCAACGATGATTATTTCGCTACCATACACCACATATCTAACATAGTTCGCCGAGATATCTACATGGAGCGAACACTCAATAAGATGCGGATCACTAGCATTGTCAATTCTGAGCTAGTGTACCGTGTCCTTCGAAGCTGCTGCCACTCTGGTATTGAATCCTTCCGATTCTTTAATTGGATCCGCACCCATCACCCTCACTATGATCCCACCACCCTTGAGTTCGAAGAGCTCCTTAAGACCCTTGCTCTCAATCGCCACTGGGAGACCATGTGGAAGGTTGCCCACCAGATGAAAACCCTCAACCTCCCCATCTCACCTTCTGTCGTGTCTTTCATCATTGAACAGTATGGAAAGAATGGTCATATTGACCAAGCCGTAGAGCTCTTCAATCGCCTAAAAAACTTCAGTTGTCCACAAACAATTGGGATATACAACTCTTTGCTTTACGCTTTATGTGAGATCAAAAATTTCCAAGGGGCCTATGCGTTGATTCGGAGAATGATCCGAAAAGGTGTTGTTCCTGATAAGAGGACTTACTCGATTCTTGTAAATGCATGGTGCTCTGTGGGAAAGATGAGAGAGGCCCAGGAGTTCCTCGAGGAGATGAATCTTAAGGGTTTTAATCCCCCCGTGCGTGGCCGTGACATTTTGATTGATGGTTTGATAAATGCAGGTTATCTTGAATCAGCAAAAGGATTGGTGAGAAAAATGACCAAAGAAGGGTTTGTTCCCGATGTTGGCACATTTAATTGTTTAGTGGAAGCTGTGTGCAAATCTGGGGGGATTGACTTTTGCATCAATCTTTTTAATGATGTTTCCCAACTGGGACTTTGTCCTGACTCAGAGACATATAAGATTATGATAAGCGTTGCTTCAAAAATTGGAAGAGTTGACGAGGCTTTTAGGATTCTTCATAGATCCATTGAGGGGGGCCACCGACCGTTTCCCAGTTTATACGCTCCTATCCTGAAAGCTCTATGTCGAAGAGGACAGTTTGATGATGCATTTAGCTTTTTTGTAGACATGAAGGTGAAGGGGCATCCACCAAATAGACCAGTTTATACGATGCTGATAAAGATGTGTGGACGTGGAGGTAGATTTGTTGAGGCAGCCAATTATTTGGTGGAGATGACCGAGTTAAATTTATTGCCTATGTCACAAAGTTTTGACATGGTTACTGATGGGTTAAAAAACTGCGGGAAACATGATTTGGCTAAAAGGATAGAGCAGTTAGAAATATCTATTAGGGGTACTTGAATCTATGTACTTTCTGTTCTACAGCCTGAAAACTTGCAAGGTGAATAGAGATGAACAATTTCTAAGAGTAATTAGACTCATTTTGCTGGACGGTGAATTCATATATGCTTATTGTCAATACGTTTTACTTACACACACTTCTGAAGAGTACTACAAATGTTAGTATATTCATCATAAAACATTGTTTGCGATAAGCTTTTCAGATTTTTATTTTACTTTCTGATTTTGCATACCTGAAAAATTCTGCCACACGTTGAGGCTTAGGTTTCAAGTTCAAGCAAATGCAACATCTCCTTTTCTCTTACCTGTTTTCACCAAATGACCTTGGTTCTTTTGCATGCACATGGAGGGAAACTTGCGCCTTCCCTCTCTATTTATATTGAAAAGCAGACTTTATTTATTTAATTGCTCATGACCTTGTGTTGATTAGCACACCTCTTGCACATGTTCAAGGACAAAACATCTCTTGTTCATTTTATATGGAATCTGTTTTGAGTATTCCGTTGATGCGTTTGGGGAAGTATGGTGTTTGCCATGTTACACGGAACACTGCAAGTAGCCAACATTTGTGGAGTAGCTTGTTGAAATAATCATCCATGTTAGACCACAAGAAGAATCACATTATTCAAGCATGGGGAACTGTTTCAAAAACACTTCAAATTAATATCCAACCCTAGAGAAGCCACCTCCACAGATTCAGGTTATCATGCTCAAGAAGAAGAATACACAAGGATAAATAATACAATCATCCATACTAGTAAGAGCAGCTTCTCTATTAATTATGTGGCAACTTTCAAGAAAGGAACATGGCAACCTGGAGCATAATATATATTATCACCAATTCAGATGTCAAAACAAGGAGCATTACATGGCAAGAGCATAATATATATTATTTCTCAAGATTTGGTGTATCATTCTGGCAAGGAGTCCAAAGATCAATTTCCGTGAAAGAAAGTGGAATCCAAGATCCAATAGAGGTTTTGATTGGCCAAGGGAAATTGTTGATTGGCTATCCAAGGTCATTCCATTCTGTGCCTTCTGAAACATTTACTGACCTGCATGTATTTCTATGGCCTGGCACAGTTACTGCTGCTCAGGCAAATTTGCATATAGTGAATTGAAGAAAAAATCTTTCAGTTGGTGGTGCATGTTCCCGTGCAATTTCCATAACATCTGTGTCAGGGCCTTCATTTCAAGTTTGTGGGTATCACGTTGATTGTTTGCTATCTGACCCCTGTCAGGTTACTTTTGGCATCAACTCTCGAAATGCTCTTATGGCTGTTTGTGGATCTAGATCAGCTCCAACTGATTTCTCTATTAGCAATTTGACTTCTAGGCGAGTACAACCTGGTGTGGCAGCATATCATTCTTACAGTTGTTACAGCAGAAGAATCTTCGAAAATTGTAGAAAAGCTAGCATGAGCTTGAAAAACGAAGAACAACCAAACAATTTCTTGCTCTATGGATATTTTATATATAATGTTGCAAAGAGAAACGGTAGTTCCAAGTCGTACCCAGGATTTGGGTTTGAGGGTTTCTATTTCTCATTATCTGCATGTTCATCTACTGGCACTGCTTCTGATGCGACATTTGATAGCTCGATGCAGGAGGAACTGCATTCAAGTTCTGCAGATTCTGCTGATCTGTACGTTCCCTCTAGTTTGCGCAATTTTCACACCCACACACTCTTAAAAGTTCAGGCACCACCATTTATTGTATAAAACTTAGATATTGTTTCAAATTAGATGCCTGATTGTAGTTGCAACTTCATTTATTTGATGAGCGTTTCAAAGTGCTTGTAATGGTCACTTTAGGAAACTGTGAACAACAAATTGTATCTAACAAGTTTTATTTGCTCATAGCGTGTTCTACATATGTAGAGTTGAATATTTGTTAAGAGTTGAATATTTTCACCAATTGTTTTTTTATTTAATACTAACAAACAATTGCTGAGTAGGTTCTGGAAGTTTCTTGTTGGATATTTGTTTGGAATTATGCACAGTTATTAGTTACTGGCTGCTAATATTTCTCCAGAAAGAAAACAGATGAAATTCGGTATTCGAAATATTATTTTGAAAATCATGTAATAATTCATGGAATTTGTTTTTAAATTTTTTGCATGTGATCAGTTTGTAAATGAAGTGCATTACTGTGTAAAACAATTCTGATTATTGTGGTAGGCCTTTTTGTATTTATTATTTTGCTTGTTGGTTGCAGGAAGATTCCAACAGACAGAACTCTAAAGCTAAATTCAGCATCATGTTACCTGCCCCATCCTGACAAAGAAGAAACTGGTGGAGAGGATGCTCATTTTATTTGCTTGGATGAACAAGCAATTGGTGTAGCTGATGGTGTTGGTGGATTGGCTGATCTTGGTGTTGATGCAGGGCAGTATGCTCGTGAGCTCTTGTCTAATTCAGTCAATGCAATTCAGAACCAAGGGGTTCTATTGATCCAGCCAGAGTCCTGGAGAAGGCTCACACAAGCACAAAAGCAAAGGGTTCATCAACAGCTTGTATAATTGCTCTCACAGATCAGGTGTCCTGCATTTGACTTATAGTACAAGAAAATGATAAAATGAGTACTTTTAGTACCATCATTGACTAACCATGAAAAGATTTTTTAAGGGCAGCAAACTAGAGATCTGAGGTTATGGTTTATTTACTTTGATTAAATTGTTGGAATCTTTAAATTTTTTCCTCTAGATATTTGAACCATTAGTGTGAGATATTGTTGTAAATATCTTAAAAGGTCAACCTTCTTAAGAGGAGTAATCTTAAGAAGGTAACCCAATTCTTTAAAGTTGGTTTATGTTTATATCTTTATTTGGTGTGGGATTCTATCCTTTAATATGCCCCCGTAAGATGGTGACTCGTTTGAGCAGACCAATCTTGAAATCCGTATGCTCACTTTTGAAGTCTTAACCGGATCGAATTGCTCGTTAGAGCTTAATGGGCTCTGATACCATATTAGATATATTCAATAAAAGACTCGATGTCTTGCTTTGTGAGAGGTTCTCTCATTAAACATGACTAAAATAACAACTAGATATGGA